ACTTCTCTCACTTCAACATAATCATCATCGCTAAATATCACATCACTAACGAGTCTTTCTCTAAGAAAATTATCGTTCAAATTGGCAAAAATCGTTTGATCATTTTCAATGTCGTCGGAACAACATCTCCTGAAGAAAATGTTTATCACTGGCCTTCCGTATATGGTACTTAGTACTGCAATGAGAACTAATGACACTAGAACGCAGAAAGTAAGAAATCTCAGCCACATGGTACCGGTTAGTGTCAAAGATATGCGCACACTGAGTATTGCGTTCATTTAAAATCGTAATGGCCTGATTGTCCCTTTATTGAGTATTGGTTTTGTAGACTTGCGATTTTAGTTGTTCGGATGCGACTATTTTGTCGTCACTTCTTTGTTTGACGATTGTTTGTCTTACCAAACTTATCAACTTACAATTTGTTATGCGTTTTAAAAAAAATTGTGGGTGTCACATCACATTTATATTTAGAATGCTATCCAAAATTTTAAAATTCGAACGGTTAAAAACGACAAATTCTACCGAATTTGAAACACCCCCGAGAATTTGTATTTCTAATTTATCAATAAATTTGATCTACACGTTTATTAATAGTACCTTTAATTACAAATAAATAATAATTCGAAACTAAATAAATCATACAGCCGTTAAACCCTGCGAATCCTCTGACTAATCCGATTTGAGGAAAACCCAATACAATATACATTAATAAGAAAATCTCTTGGTAAGATATAATTAAAAGATTTACTGATTTTCCTCGCCAACTAAGCCGTCTGCCGGGCATCAGTAACGAGTAAATCTTAATTATTATACGCTACATCATTTGTTATGCTATGGTGAACACTTAATTAAATAAGCAACTAATTTTGAGAAGGTGTGTCAATAATTTGATTTACAGAACTGAGCACACTAGACTATGAAAATTGTAATTTATTTCCAAATTACTAATGTTGAATTTAGAGTAAAAAGTTATATACCTACTCAAATAAGTTATTAAGGTAAGTCGCAAGTACGAGTGCCCAGCAATGAGTGATTTAATGCCCTAGACAATAATAACAAGCATATTTTTAATGTGGTAGTAGTGCAAAAATGAGCGACACGACTTACCTGATGGTAAGCAATCGGTCCTCGGTATTTTTAAAAATAAAGTCAAAATATACTAATAATCCATTAGTGAATTTAGGTGCGTTTGATTCGAATGGAGAAGAATGAGTGAAAAACTCCACTGTTACTCATAAGAAACAGTTTTAATATATGTGGGAGAGCCATGCTTCGGCACGATTAGGTTGGCTCGACTTAAGCGATACCACGGTATCACAGAAAACCGTAAAAGAGAAAACAACGTTGTGTTTCGCCCTGTGAGTGAGGTTACCGGAGGCCCAATCTTTCACCCTCCCCAATCCCTCCCCAATCGCTAAATCTCCAAATCCCTAATTCCTAAAACTTCAGCAACACACTCGTAACTCCTCCGTTGCGGGTGTACATGGGCGGCGCTGATTGCTTACTATCAGGTAATCCGTCTGCTCGTTTGCGAACCTATTACATAAAAAAAGTTATGTGTAAGTCTTAGGTAACCTATATGTACCTCACATCCGAATGATAAAAGACAAGAATTATTTATAAAAAAAGTCGCACCGACTAATCGCCGGTCTACACAAACCATTGACGTCTTCAATATCGGGTTGTGAATAAATGAAGCATAGTTATACCATCTGTATTCACGATGCATCCATCGGCCATATTTCAAACATGTCTGCCTACGCCCAATGCATATTAATAGCCTGTTGATAAAAGTCTGAGCTGTTGTTTATACGGAACTGGGAAAGGGTATCAGGAAGAGCGATTCTTGATTAAGGAGTTCCGTGTGATGTGATCGGCTCGGCGCCATCTTGGAATAATTTTGACGTTTGAATATGTGACGCTTTTTGCGGCGATAAAATTATTTTGGTTCGATTTTTAAAAGGTGTTTTTTTTATTTTCGATGTTTTTTTTTTAAATTCAGGTTGTTAAGTACTGGTCTTATACTCATACTCTTAGGGGCGGAGGCGAAGGGCTGAACAATCAGCTACATACAGGAATAGATGAAAGAACGAGGTGGTACTTAGTCAGAAAGAGTCTGAAGCTCCAACTCGCAACGCCGAGGGCAAGAGAAGTCATTTAAAATATTTCCCCCTCTTAATAATAAGGTTTTCAGACGATGTTTACCTTCACCGTATGTCAGTAGTGTCTAAATAATCTAAGAAAGTACATATAACTTGAAAAATAAGTGTGGAAGAGCCATGCTTCGGCACAAATGGACCGGCTCGACCGGAGTGATACCACGGCCTCACAGAAACAGAGCGTTGTGTTTCGCCTTGTGAGTGAGGTGACCGGAGACCCAATCCTTCCCCTCCCCCAAACCCTCCAAATTACCAAAATTTCCAAATCCCTAATCCCCAAAAGGTCGGCAACGCACTCGTTACTCCTCCGTCGTTGCGGTTGTCCATAGACGGCGCTGATTGCTTACCATCAGGTAACCCGTTTGCTCATTTAAAAGAAATTGTTCTTACTAGGTTCGGAAATCGCACCGTCGTGCATAAGAATCGGGCGCTTCAAGGACACTACGACATTACTTATTTGAATATTTTGTTGTATATTTACGACAACTTTTTGAATATTTTCTCACAGAAAAACAGAGTTGTGTTTCGCCGTGTGAGTGAGGTTACCGGAGGCCCAATCCTTTCCCTTCCCAAAACGCCCTCCCAATCCCTAAATCTCCCAAATCACTAACCCCCAAAAGGTCGGCAACGCACTCGTTACTCCTCCGTCGTTGCGAGTGTCCATGGACAGTGATTGCTTACCATCAGGTAATCCGTCTGCTCGTTTGCCGACCTATCACATAAAAAAAAAATACGTAACCGAGATTTTCTTAATCAATCATTGTCATGATCATTTTTAGTACTCCTTCCCTACATAGGTACTGAGAATGGTGTTATGTAAATTTGATTAGAGGAAAACCCACCGCCCATTAGCAACGCGTAATAAAACCATTACAATAAAGAAACAATCGAGTTGCTCACATTATCATTGTAATCGATTTTATGTACGTAGGTTACTAATCGTTTTATTTATAAATCATCGATAAACATATACCCCCTTATTACAAAACGAGTTTTATCTTTAGTCCAAGTTTAAACCATTGAGTCGGGTTTTGAATTTTGAATCTTATTGTCATCTACCTTCAATTCGAAATACGAAAACTGACTCAATGGTTTAGTCCTAGACTAAAGTAAAACCTTGTTTTGTAATAAGGCCGATTATGTTATTTTTCTTGTATAGTCACTGTCGTGGAACATACATATGTATGTACTAATTTGTTACAAATTGGAGATAACAGCTTTCATCAATTAATTCGGATAAAGTCGTTAGTTGTGGGAAAATTGTGTTTCGCCGTGAAAGGGCCGGATTGACCTGAGTTATACCACGGCGTTACGGAATACCAGCGTGAAACGACAGTCACGTTGTATTTCGCCGTGTGGCTGATATTACAAATCCTTAATCCCCAAATCCCCTTTCCTTAAAGCCCTAATAACCAGCAAAGAGCCGACAACCATTACCATCAGGTAATCTGTCTGTTCGTTTCCGACCTATTCCATAAAAAAGTATGTAATATGCTCTCTCGGAGATTGGTGCTTCCGTCTCTGATCCATTAGAGAATTGGTGCAGAAGTCGGAACTAATAATTATCAATGTGACTTTTTCCGAGTTTTAAGTACTTTCTAAATAATATTTAAACACTACCAGCATACAGTAAAAGAACATTGCGAGGAGCCTGGACCTATAAATTCCAATTATAAGTTTGAAATAACCAGTTCGGTCGTTACCCATGTGTGACTGAAGAAGCCTAACTTTTCTGTTGACGATGATGATGATAATTGTAATATTTTTTAAATATCGTATATACGTTTGTGGCATTTTAATAGTGTCTTCTGTATTAAGCGTGCACACACATCACATAACCTGATTCATCCAAATTATCACATATCATATCACAATGTCGTGGTGGCCCGGAGGTTAAGGCGCCAGCTTCTCATTTATGAGGGCGAGTGTTCGAAACCTGGCAAGTACCAATGTGACTTTTTCCGAGTTATATGTACTATCTATGATTATTAAGACACCACAGACATACGGTGAAGGCAAAACATCGTGAGGAAACCTGGACTTATAATTTCTAATTATAAGTTTGAAATCGCCAACCCGCATTGAGCAAGCGTGGTGATTAATGCTCTTACCTTCTTCGTATGAGAAGAGGCCTTGGCTCAGCAGGGGGCACTTATAGGCTGATGATGATGATGATGATGATATCACAATATCATCAAACTGTTAATATGTATGAATCAAACGAGCGACATTATATTCAATAGCAGTTTATACAGCTATGTTTTTAAACGTTACACTAGGTTTTGCGTTAAAAAAAAAACAAACACACAATTTCACATACACAACACACCCAGGCCCGGAAAAACAATCGGTAGATAACACAAAGAGTTGGTCCGTTACATATTGAGACAGACAACTTTAAAAATCTTTGCCATCGTAAACTGTCTGATTGTAATCCATAATTTTCATTTTTTTAAGTAATAAAAATTAGCCACAACACCATAAAGTTGATATGATTGAAATGTGAGATTTGATGGGTGCTCAATTAGCCGGAGTTGACCATCGTGTCGTGAAACATGGCTTGCGTTGCATGCAGCCGTGAGGGTAAACGTGTCGCCAAATTCCCAAACCAAAGGGCCAACGGCGTGACGTGATGCTCCCCTGGTAATACGGGTGTCAATGGCTAGCGGGTATTGCTTACCATCAGGTAATGCGGCTGACCATTTGCCGCCATATTATAGGCTGTCGTCAAATGGATGTAGGGGATGACCATAGTACGCCAAATAGTACGGTTACTTAAGTGCATAACCGTTTTTTGTGAGGGGTTTTTAGAATTCAGTAAAAAACAAAACAAAAATACAACTACATGTAACCCTTTTTTATTAATCCAATTGTGTCGTCGATCCATTTCAAGTGGTTGTACAGTGATGTATAGAAAACGTTCTTGATGAAACAGATCCCTCTTTCTGCTGGGTCTCCGTAATAAATGCCAGTCAGGCACCATCGCTCAGATTGCTTTGATACGAACACTCCACCAAAACTCGGACATAGGGCTACGTCTGTAAAGGAAAAAAAGGAAGAAAATCAAATTATTAAAAATGCAATAAGGTCATAAGTCGAAAAGATCGATTCAATTGAAAAACTTAAATCTGTAACCGTTTTTAAGGTTTGAAATGCGCCGTCTGTACACTAGATTTATAAAGAAGAAAGATGTTATAGTTCTTTTTTTGTTTAAATTAGGTATGGGGGAGCCAAGCTTCGGCGCGTGATACCACGGCCTTACAGAAAACCAGTGTGAAACAACCACAGCGTTGTGTTTCCCTAAATCTCCAAAACCCTAATCCCTAAAAGGTCGGCAGCACACTCGTACCTCCTCCGTTGCGGGTGTTCATGGGCGACGCTGATTGCTTACCATCAGTTAATCCGTCTGCTCGTTTGCCGACCAATACTATAAAAAAATGAATACACAGTATCAGTGTTGGAAAGCTACGCTCATCCAGCTAAACAAAGGCTAAAACGCGAGTAAAACAGCGGCCCACAGCTAGTAAATAGGTCTATTTAACATACCATTTCCATATGTAACACAGAAGACATTCTCGTCCATATCGAAGCAGTGTTCTTCTTTCTTGTTGTTAAAGAAGATCGGCATCAGAAGACCATTCGCCCCCCACGCTGTAGTCTTTAAACATAAACAAATATTAACTTTACACACTGAACTCACACAAAATTTATGTCGGGAGATCCAGCTTAACTGCAAGTAATATCAGGGCCTAACAGAAAGCCGGCGTGAAAGAAGCCTTGAGAGTATGAGTCAAGTTACGCGAGTCACTATCGTTCCCCACTCCTTCCATTTCCAATTTCCAATCCTCAAATCCCTAAACCTCGAAAGCCACACACTCAACTCCAAGATGTTGCAAGTGTCCATGAGCGACTCTAATTGCTTACATAAGGGGGCTCGTTTGCGGACTCATTCCAAAAAAAAAAAATAGTGTGAATTTTTTTCAGCTTCGTCGAGTGGCTGAAAGAGCTGTGGCTGAACTCATTGCGATTCCAAAGTTCAGATGATAGATTTTGTTTTTCTAAACACACACTCAAGTGTGGGAAAGCCATGCTACGACAATAATGGGTCGACTCGACCTCACAGAAACCGACATGAAACAATTACAGCGTTGTTTTTCGCCGTGAGAGTGGTTGCCTCCGGTAACACTCCCCTATCCCTAAATCTCCGATCTCTAAATCCCTAATCCCCAGAAGGTCGGCTACGCACTCGTTATTCTTTTGTCGTTGCGGATGTTCATGAGCGACGCTGATTGCTTACCATCAGGTAATCCTCGTTTGCCGTCCTATGTGCTCTTATTTACTTCGTTTCAGACGAAATTTACGGGAATTTTCGGGAAGTTTATTTTCGACCTCAAAAAGAATAAATATTGCTAGAATTGTACCAGCTGTTTTTTTTTATTAAAAACCACTCATACTTTTCACTGAAATCGCAAACGCCAAAAGCAAACCTCGACCAATGAATTCAATGTATTATTGTGACGTAACATTACACCTTGGACGGTAGCCATTTTGATAAGCCGAATGAATTGTATTTGTGCCTCATTTGAGATTCTTGCTGCGTACGATAAAATTAATTATATTATTTGACCGCCGCTTCCCAGTTTAAACCTACCAGTAACCACGCAGATACAATAAAGCAGGTTTATCTTGTTTTATTTGCATGTAAAATTGTAACTCTGATGTGGATTAAGTCTTCCATGAATCTAGACTAGTTTAATTATTTTAATTTAGCTAAAGAAGTGTTTTCAATTATCTAGATTTAATTAAAGACTTTCAGTCTATTGTTTTAGGTATCAAAATATGTCTATGATCATAATGTAGGAGAGTCATGCTTCGGCACGAATGGGTCCGCTCGACTAGAGTGACAAAACAGCCTCACAAAATCGGCGTGAAACAATCACAGCGTTGTATTTCGCCGTGTAAGTGAGGTTCACAGAGGCCCAAACCTCCTCGTTTCCCATACCACCTCAATCCCTAAATCTCCAAAACCCTAATCCGAAAACAGTCGGCAACGCACTCGTAACTCCTCTGATATTGCGGCTGTCCAAGAGCTGGCTTGCTTACCATCAGGTAACCCGTGTCCGTAAAACGTCACAGTTTCGTCTGTCTGGATTATTTCTCGCTAAAAAGTAGCTTAAGAAATAAAATGCCCTTTCCGTGTCCCATTAGAGGACCCTTTTTAATGGTAACAAAGAAACGATCAATGTTTTATTTACCACTATTTTTCTGCGTTGGTAAATAAACTTTATCAATCTAGTTATAAAGGTTCCATTTACTTTTTACCACCCCTAAGAAATATGACCTTTTGATATACATATGTATATTAAAGTGTGGGAGAGCAATGCTTCGCCACAAATGTTGCAACTCGACCGCAGGGGTATAAAGGCCTTACAGAAAACAGCTATGAAACAACACTCGTGTGAGTGAGGGTATAAGACACCCAAACTTCATCCTTCCGCCATCTCTACTCAATTTCTAAATTTCCAAAACTCTAATCCCAAAAGGCCGGCAACGCACTCGTAACTCCTCTGGTGTTTCAGGTGTCCATAAGCGGCGCCCTGATTGCTTACCATCAGGTAATCAGGACACTCGTTTGCCAATCTATCACTTAGAAAAACTCCTTTCCATCAGATGATGACCTTCATACTAATGCAAAAAAATACCAATGTTCGGCCTTATCACAAAACGATAGAGTGACACTCACCGCAGCTTCTACAAGACTGTTCTCCTGGTGAATGCAAGCGGACTGGATGTTCTCCTTGAGGTCCACTTGTACCTCCAAGACTAGGAGTGCTAGATCATTCATCACCCTCCCATTGTAATCCGTGGTGAAGTGTGGATGCTTGATTATAGTTTTTACCTGTAACATAAGATTCATTTGAGGAGACAGAAGGTTATATGTGATTAAAGAGCTTATTCATTATTACCACATTTATAGGCAATCTTTAACAAGCCCTAAAGCACATATCAGTAGCTTCAATGTTGAAAAAAATTCATACAATTTCAAGTGTGGGTAAAACATGCTTAAGTACAAATGGGCCGGCTAGACCGGGACGATACCACTGCCTCACAGAAAACCGGCGCGAAACCACACTTCCGTTATGTTTCGCCGTGTGAATGAAGTTATCAGATCCAAGCCCCCATCCCTAATCCTCAAAACCCCTATCATTAAATCTCTAATAACCCACAAGAGGGCGGCAACGCACTTGTAGTAACTCCTTTGGTATTACAAATATCCATGAACGGCACTGATTGCTTACCACCAGGTAATCAATCGTTTGCCAATCTACGGCATAAAAACAAAATCAAATTTCCCCTTCTTATAGCCCCATTAATCCTTTAATACATCATGCTTAATTTTAAACCGAACAGCAAAATCCTGAAACCTGATCTGACCAGGTTATATACAAGCTTTTTCTTAAAGGATTGTTAAAATTTGGTGGTTTCTATTCAGCAATGGACGTCATATCGCTAATGATGTTGAAGCTGAGTCAACAGGTCGTTGTGTTCCTTAAAAATTGACCAGCGATCTAAGAAGGCAGCAGTATCTTTTATAATGGAATATGGCAGCAAAGGAGCATGCGGAAACCTGATTTTGAGCAATCAGCGCCGAACGTGGATACTTCTGACACTAACTGTGTAACTAGTGGTGCTTAATATATTCTGCATATTCTGATTTTCTGATGGTCATCATCGTGGTCTTATCAGCTATGACACCCTCTTCCCCTTCCCCGATTGACTTCTAGATCAACAGATTTTAAATTAATATACACACTAGGTTTTCTATTTCAGTCCTACCTTATGCACTTTCTCTTTTCCTCCAAAGGCCTGCAGGTTGACCTTCCCGAGGAACACCAACACGTTTTCAGGGTCCAACGTCCTGTTCTTAGCAATCATGCATCTGCCACCTGGAACAAAATACGATTCGATAACTTAGTAAAATTGTAATCTCGGTTCTTTATTTTTAAATGGGTCTTGCCCGTCACAGCTTTCCAAAACCGCTGTAAGCCAAGATCAAAATTATGAACCATGAAAGCACCGAGAGACCTAAGTCTGGTGCATCCTAGCTACTTGAATTGACTGCCTTGGATCCCGCAACGAAATAAATTAGAAGATATTTTTTATACTTGTGTGGGAGAGCCATGCTTCGGCACGAATGGATCGGCACGACTGGAGTGATACCACGGCCTCACAGTAAACCGGCGTGAAACAGCCACAGCGTTGTATTCCACCGTGTGAGTGAGGTTATTGAAGGCCCAATCCTTCCCCTTCCCTAATCCCTAAATCTCCCAAATCCCTAATCCTCAAATGGTCGGGGTGTCCATGGGTGGCGCTGATTGCTTACCATCAGGTAATCCGTCAGCTCGTTTGCCGCTCTTTCACATAGAAAATACAGAAAAAACTGTCCTCTGTGGTTTTAATGCAGGAAACAGAACGCACTAATCGTCCATAACGTATCTTAGATGACTACTTCGAATCAAATTACTTACAAATTTAATCAAACGAACTTCTTTCAGAAAAAAAGTTTTATTAAAAACGATTCAAAATTAAAATCCCGCTCTTTCTAGCTAGCGCCATTTTGTATTTTTCTCATTGCCTTGCCTCCGACAAGGCGAAGCGAGGCGAGGCGAGGTACTAATTTGATTACACCTCCTTCCGCTTAGCAGGCTTTGCCTCTTAATGACATTTCCAAGTTCTTCATCATTAAAGGTGCTTGTGGTAGATAGTACTTAAATACGGACTGACTCTTTAGTCCAATAATCACAAATTGAAACTCCAAAGCTTTGAGTACTTCACTTTCATTACATAGCAGTTAACGAGCCGACGGACCACCTGATGGTAAGCGATTGAAACACTCAAGGATACACTTTAGAGACACTCTAAAGACTCTTTTAGTACTTGATAGAATAGTTATCTGGTACAATGGAACTGAATAACATTATTAAAATATTTGACGTAAAACTTCTTTTAAATAATAAAACTCCACAATAGGGAGGATTTTTAAATTCTAAACTTGGTTTTGCATAATTACTGTTAAGTTATCGCAGTTTTAGGCCTGGATCTAAGATCGTCATTTTCATGATCACAACAGCCACTGCTAAACGGAATACTTTTCTTTGTCTGATAGAGCGGCATACGACCACTGTTGCGGCTAACTGTTGATAAGCAATCAGCACCTCCCATGGACACTGGTAATATCAGACCAGTTGTTTTGTCTACACGGTTGGCACACGATGGCTGGGCAACTGACTGTCCTTTGTGTGATCCACAAATTGTTGTTTCGGGTCTAGGTGTGATGTGTATGTGAAATTGTATATTTGTAAACGCACCTTCTGTACTGGAGAGAATCTTAGAGTGGGGCACAGAATTCATTTTTAAACAAAAAAAAAATTGCCTTTAGATTATGAGCCCTAGCATGGCTTGAAAGTAGTCCAGTGCCTTGTCAAACGTTACGTTGAACAATAATCAAAACTCACCAGTAACAATAACCTTCTCAGTGAGGAGTGCTCCATCACAGTAGTAACTGAACTGACTATCCGCGCTTTCATTGGTCACGAAGATGGAGACCACCCAAGGGTAGACAGTCCTGATGAACTCCTTGCACGACCAGTCTCCATGGCAGACGGGATCCGGCTGTGGAAGACGATGGGGTAAATTGAGATGGAAATATTAGATTTTTTTGAAAGACGATCATGGTCATCGGTATTTAATGGGTACAGATATTGTGACATGATGATTATATTATCAGCTTATAAGTGCTAACTGCTGATCAAAGGTTAGTAATTTCTCAGAAGGAAAAGAAGAGAACTTTACCACAACGCTTGCTCAAGGCGAATGGGCGATTTCAAATAAATAAGGCCGGTCTCCTCACTATGTCTTCGTTCGCCTATGCCAGTGGTTAACTAAAATTCGCGGGTTACTCACGTGTAAATGTTGAGAAAAGCTCTACTAGTTTCGAACCACAGAGGGGTTCTTCCTCATGAGCAGCGTGCGCGGACGCGGCGACGTCGCGCAGCCTACTGGTTAGCGTTGGCGCCTGCATCGCTGTTGATGGTTGCGCTACGGCGAGTCCACAGTCCGTCCGCGCACGCTGCTCATGAGGAAGAACCCCTCTGTGGTTCGAAACTAGTAGAGCTTTTCTCAACATTTACACGTGAGTAACCCGCGAATTTTAGTTAATTTAGTATGTCTCACGATAGTTATTATAAAAATATGTCAGTGGTGTCTAAATATTCTTAAAACGTACATTTTACTCGGCAAATGTCACATTGGTAGGAGGTATGCATAAGAAGCGGGTGTCTTCGGGATACCACGACAGTACGTTTTTAAAATATCTACAAACATTTCTGAATAATGCTCAAACTTTTTTTTGTGGCAATTTGTGGCAAATGGACATCCGCAATACTAGAGGAGTGTGCGTCAGGGTGCGTTGCCGGCCTTTTGTGGATTAGGGTTTTGGAAATTTAGGGATTCGGGCGGAATGGGGGAGGATTGGCTACACCATCTCCGTATGAAAAGAGACCTTTTTTTAAGCATAGGTGACTTATAGGCTGATAATCCAAACTAATATTATGAATGCGAAAGTAACTCTGTCTGTTTATCTTTTCTTCACGCCTAAACTACTGAACCGATTTCTGTGAAATTTGATACAGACATAGTTTGGAACTCGAGAAAGGACATAGGATAGTTTTTATGCCAAAATTCTGCAGGGAGTCACTATTTCACGCGACCAAAGTCGCGGTCACAAGCTAGTTATTTAATAAAATAATTGTGTTATTTCTTAAAAAAAGAACATAAAACAAAAAAAAATGTGATTAAGCGTTTTTTGCGAATCCCCATAATAATTCAACCGCGGTGGGCCGTCGAATTAAAAATTAAAAATTCAAATTTCCACGTCATTGTTAATGGTATGTTGTTTATGGCAATAAACAATATATTATGTTTTATTATGGCGATCTAACGACCTATAAAAAGTAGACGGATTAATGACTTTATGGAGATCTTTTTTTTAATTTAGGTAGTGTCACATTACATCACATCATCAGCCTATAAGTGTCCACTTCTGAGCAAAGGCCTCTTCTCACACAGAGAAGGTTTAAGCACTAATCACCACGCTTGCCCAATTTGCGATTTTAAACTTATATTAAAAAAATATAAGTCCAGGTTTCTTTCATTGTATGTCAGTGGTGTCCAAATAATCATAGAAAGTACATATAACTCGGAAAAGTCAATTGGTACTTGCCAGGTTTTGAATCTACACCCTCATGTATGATATGACAAGCGTTTACCCCCGGGCCACCATGACGTTAGGTTGGGTAATGGTTAGTCTAGCTAACAGGTTTAAGTGTGGGACAGCTATGCTTCGGTACGAATGAGCCGTCTCCCACGGCTTTTGAAGAATCCTGAATCGTAAACCTGAATTAATGCAATGGGGGTTTTTAGTCAGAACAGTGTCAGACTCGTACTGACTAAAAACCCCCATTCCTTCCGGTACAGGACAAATACCCAAACACACACAGACACAATTTTGAAGTTTTTAATTGTACTTATACAAGTACCAGATTTCATTGAAATCATTTCATATCTTAAGTTTAAAAACCTGTGCCACGCAAAAGCTCATAAATACATACATACTTATAATATACTACTCAACCCTACTCACAAAAAGTTAAGTATTTTATTTAATTTTAGACGCGATTACCTCAATACCGCAGCCCCAGCTTAGGGCAGGAGAAGGATAGGGAAGGTTTCTGGTCAGTAAGAGTCTGAGGCTCCCTCTCATCCCACCCAGAGGAGAAGAAGCCATTGGTTGATTTTGCTTCCTCAAAAAAAAACACCTGTGAATTACAATCTAAGCCACAAAAACAGAAAAGAAACAAATTACTTCAAAACAACACTAATTAATATTTTCGACTTCCTCAATTAATATTATAATGTTGCATCTTTGTTGAAACTCACGATTTGCTGTCAAGCTTTTTTCGAGAATGCTGATGACAAACTACAAGGTTTCGTACTTTAGAACTTTGTGTTGTAGTACGTAACAATGGATTTCAACTCTTTAAACTAGAAGCTTACGGTTGAAAATTCCGTGAAGATATTTTAGACAGATACTTGGCACTGCCTATCGCTTTCTGACAGTGGATTTTCGCCTCTAATTCGTGAATGTTAAGATTTGATTACAGAAATAGTAATTGATAGATTGATTCATTTTTCTAAGCGCTGATTTTCAATAGTCAGATAAATGTTTTCTGAGGAATAAAATTGTTGCTGTCACTGTCTTATACAAACATTCTGACGCGACAGCATCATAATTTTTCCCCAGGTAACTTTTATCTAACCAAAAAAATCTAAAGAATAAAAATCTTGTAGTGATTTTTGCGTGTCTTGTAGATGGCACACATGGCCCATACTTTCGCCACTCATCCATCAAATAAGACCATTTTAAAAAACTTGCAAAACTTAATGTTTTAAATCCAAATCGGCTCCGAACCGATTAAATTTCGTCGTAGAGAATTTTTTAATAGTCATCTATGTATTATCAGTCGTATGCTATTATTATTATTTGTTTGTTCTTATCCATTCACGGGACCACAGGGTACAGGGTCCCGGACCTGGTTGCGGGGTAAGCGCAATGAGGCACCGCGACCTCGGCCCAGAGCAGGAGAAGGAACAGGGGGGTTTTGTAGTCAGTAAGAGTCTGACACTTCCTCCTGCCCGGCCCTGGGCGGGAGAAGTCATTTGATGATTTTCCCCTCACAAAAAAAAGGGTCTCGTCCCGAACCTTTGGAAGGCGTCCGAGGGGCCGAAGCCAACTCGCAGAGGCCCGTTGAACAGTTTTAATCTAAATGTGATGGGACATCAGCCGGCAATTATCCCTGTATGCACCATAAAAGTGCACCCAGGGACATTCCCCGGTTGATGCAGGACTGTTGTGCAATATAGGTAGAAAAATATTATTATTACTATTTTTTTTTTGTGAGGGGAAAATCATCAAATGACTTCTCCCGCCCAGGGCCGAGGTCGCGGTGCCTCATTGCGCTTACCCCGCAACCCCGGCTGAAATTATTATTACTATTATATTAGTAACTAGCGCCCCGCCCCGGTTTCGCACGTGTTCAATGCAAAACTAAACTACTCCACTATTTAATCGATGTTATAATATGCATATACATACATATAAACCTTCCTCTTCACTTTTGACGTTTCAAAAGTAGCTATTTATGGTGTAGTTGGAATAAATGATTTTGACTTTGACTTTGACTTCACACACATACACACACAACAATCACTCTATCTATTATATATCTATTAAAAAACCGTATCCAAATCTGTTACATAGCATGAATAAGGGACAGAAGACCGACTTTGTTTCATATTTATACTTCTGTCTTCTTTTATGTTTAATTTTCTTATCTGACTTTAACTATTTAAAAAGAAAGGTAAATAAAAAATAACTAATATATATATAGGTATCAAGTCATTTATTTAAAAAAAAAACAATCTACAATTTCCAGAAAAGACTCCAGTCTATTTTTAACAAATGATTTCAATTTAAACTTCTTACTTAAATCTGTTCTTACAATTAACTAGCTACTCTTGCGCGGTTTCATTTCCATTTAATCGTAGCGTGATGTTTTATAACCTAAAGCACGCATGAACATTGTAGCTATCTATCAGTGAAAGAATTTTGGCAATCCGACCAGCGGTTCCAAAGATTACCCCCGACATACAAGCTTACAAATTTTACCTCTTTATAATAGTATAGATATAGATAGGTTCAAATTCACAGTCGGATGGACGTACGTATGAAGGGGATTGCCTCCATAGGAACCGGTATAAAGTTTGCATTTTTCATATAAAACTTTTAGGTAGGTACATCTAAAAATATTTGAAATTAAAAAAGTTGCTTGCTTTAAAACTGTGGAAGTTTGCTACATGAGGTTAGGTTTCGCTTGTTTATCTGATGGTGAAGGTAGATGTATTTTTTTTTTATAATATCAAGGAGGAAATATGTCATCAATGATATTATAAGTAAAATGGTGTAGATAGGTTACCTAAACAAAGTTCGATTTTCAAAAACGACACACTGATACACACATGAACAATTCGTATGTTTAGACGTCAAAGTGAGATGGCATGATTCAATAATAGCGAGTGAAAAAGAGACAAATATGAAAAAATATTGGCTAGTTAGCCACATTTCTATAGATCACTTGCTGAGCGCTTGTAACCTATCTACACCTTTTTACTTATAATATCATTGTGTGCCATCTTGTAGTGATTTGTTTTGTTGCGGCAGAATCCTATCGGATGGATAAATTAATGATCATTAGAGACATGTTTCTTTGTAGTTTTTTTTTTGTGAGGGGCAAATCTTCAAATGACTTCTCCCTCCCGCCCAAGGCCGGGCGGGAGGGAGTGTCAGACTTACTGACTAAAAACCCCCCTATTCCTTCTCCTGCTCTGGGCCGTCTCGTGGTGCCTCATTGCGCTTACCCCGCAACCCCGGCTAAACATCAGCCCTATAGGGCCCCGTCTGTGGTGGTCTATTGGCTCTTCAAGGCGCGCGCGGAACGCTACGCGCCGTCCGCTCGGGCCTGGTTCTGGTCGGGCGGCGAGCTGCCCTTACTGGC